ACTCAGCAGTAGGTTAAACAAGCCACAAGGTGGTGACAGCGACAGGGGAGTGAATCGGGAATCGTTTGGCGATACTGTTCCGCGTTCCGCTGAAGTGAATCGTGAATCGCGTTCCGCAGGAAAGAGTGGCGATTCAGTTCCGTTCTCGCGCTCGTGACCCAGCCCTACTTTGTAATCAGCGTGTCTGTTTATGTGTCTATAGATGTGTCTGTTAGTTTTTCTGATGTAGCATGCACATTATGTCATTTCTATAGAGAGGAAGTGCTTTTGTCTCTGAAATTAGCATGTCTGTAACAGAGAAGTTCTCTCTTTGTGGAGGCGGGTAGTTGGAGTGTGCCACTGATGGGTCCTGCTTCTTTTCTTTGTCTTTCCCTCTGTTGTTTCTTTGCTGTCTCTCTGTCTGTCTGTCCTATTTTGTCCTCGAACTAAATAACCATTATTGTTTAGATGTGTTTCTCTGATCTCAAATGAACAGGCAAAGTCTTCTCATTGATCTTTTTATTTTTAAAGGGTTTTTCTTATGCACTGCTTTTCTTTTGCAAGTAGATGGTTATCTCTGTGTGTGGATGCACTTTTTCGAAAATCTTTGCAAGACTTCAAGATTTGCCTTTGGCTATGGGTTTTTTCATAGTGTAGAGATTTTTCCTTCCAGTTTACTTTCCCAGATATGTCTTACAGGGGGAGGTATGCTTTACTTTTGTCAAAAGGTTTTAATCGAGGTAGGTGACAGCAGTGGACTTTCTGTGAGGCTCATGTTGGATTGTCCTCCTCTCTCTCAAAATGGCGTCTCGGGGTCTAGAAAGTCATTTGAATTCAACTAAACAAAAAGACGAAGATGTCCTGATTTTTTTCTGCAGTTAACTTTTATTGGGAACCTGAGCAACCTTTAAAGCATGACTCCGAGAGGTATGGCATATATCGTAGGCTGAGAGCCATAAGTGATCACTGTATGTCTATTTTCGTCAAAAAGCCAAAAAAAATTAGTGCAGTTGAAACATTTGAATAACTTCCCATCATGTCTGTAAATCAAAGCAATCCACCCAGTAATTTTGTTTCAATCTCAATTCCCAATGTGTCTACTTTCAAGCACTTTCCATTTTACTTTTTGCTATAAAAAATCTGTTTTTCTCAAAACAAGGAATGGGTGGTTGGAGGGCGCCACTGCTAGGTCCTACTTCTTTTCTTTCCCTCTGCTGTTTTTGTCAGTCTCTCTTACTTTTTCTCAGCACTATATGTCTGTTATTGTGTTGATGCCTGTCTGTTTACTCACTCAAACAAACAAACAAACCAGCACTTGGAATTACAACAAAGTCACCTCTAACTCTCAGCGAAAAATATTCAAGAAACAAGTCAGGGCAACTACTTTTCTTGCAGGAATTCCACAATTTGTACGCAGCCAGAAGCATACTCTAATGCTGTATGATTATGTGTTATCATTGTTTTAAGGGGAAAGTCATCTCCAGGCCTCCTTAAGATCTCTAAAATATAATATGGCAATTCTAATAATAATAATGATAATAGTAATATATTGCTTTTATATTGGGCCTTGTGTCATCTCTAACTTTGACCTTAGTTTTTCCATTCGAGCGAGGGGTATGTGTAGAAGCTGACCTGAGTGTTTCCTTGAATTTGTTTTTCAGACAGGATTTGGTAATCTTAACATGAGCACAGAAAAAGAAGACTATCTTTATTTGGTAAAATGGCATTCTTTTGTCTTCTGTATGTTTTTCGGGGGGCTACCGAAGCAGTAAAAAAATTTTGAAAGGAATGTCAGGTGTTATTTCTGCCTTCAGAAGATATTTAAAAGACATTGCATTCCAGGTGTGATAACCTAGAATTCTTTGTTCATATTGTAGATAATTTCGTGAATGAAAATGGCTCATTTCTTATCCTCCTTGTCCCATACCCCTTTTTTTCTTGAATATGATCAAAGAAGAGAAAATGTCAGCCTTTAGTGGTGCTTGTAGTGGGATTATGAGATAGAACTGTTTGGCGCAGTAATACCTTATGCACTTTAGTTTGTAGTGTCACTTATTGTTTTGTAGCGCTGAATTTCAATCCAAAAAGATAGCAAACTCATGAAAAAACGTCTCAACTGCTTCTGTGCCGTCCTATCTCTTGTAGCTTGGCTTGAGTTTTTCTGCATGCCAGATCAGTTTTGTAGACACTACTCTGTGTACTTAGTTAGTCTGTATGCCTCTCCCTCTCCTGCCGTAGAGTGTAAAAATAGATGTGCTGACTCTGGAGTTTCTGACAGAGATTTGTGTTCTGTAGTTGCCTTGCTTTTTCGTGCAGTATTTTTGTCTGAATGTGTGTCTTTAAGTACTAAGATGGTACTTTTCGATAAATGTTTGTGCCATGGGCAGCTGTTTGCTTGTCTGTCACTGATTGGTGTGACTGCTGCGTTATCACGTGAGGACCTGTGAAAACTTTTGAGTTTTAATTTACGACTATTTTTGGTTTTATACAAGAGAGACAGGTAGTTATATGGTTGTTGTCATGGTTTCAATATTTAATTGGCTGCAACTGTGCCAATGTAGAAAGTGCTTGTTAGTGCCAATAACCTGATGCTGGGTGAGAAAGGCGATGATGATGATGATGATGATGATGATGATGATGATGATGATGATGATGATGATGATGATGATGATGAGACTTTTACTGTCCAAATACAGCTGTCAGTCATCACTGAAGTCGGCATAGGGCAGCCAAATATGACCAGCTGTTTTTAAAATGTCTAATTTAAGGTCTCTATAGAATTTTAAAAAGTAAACCAAAAGACAATGGATCTTGCTAAAGTTTACCTGTATGAGATAATCACCTGTACAAACGACCACTTTCGATTTTCTCCCTTTAGTTTTTTTTACATTATGACGCAGCGTATGTCCACCTGTCAAAGACGGCCACTCCTCTCCTTGACAGTGGGTGGGTCAGACAGTTTTGACTGCACTATATCCTGCAGTGTGTAAATTTTGACTGTACTATATCCTGCAGTGTGCAGATTAGGAATCAGATCTTTAGGTTTCAGTTAGTTGATGCTTAAATGAAGCAAACTTTCGTGTATAAACTGTGGTTTATGATGAAATGTGTATACTTGGGAGAAATGTGCTACTAATAATCAATTGCAGTTTCCCTTCACACTGTCATAATTATGATATTTGCTTTAGAAAATTCTGGAAAAATCTGAAGGTCTATCCAATGTATGTTGATGACCTACATAGCAGTATGGGAAAAGATCTGGTTCAGGACTCAGGGGGTGGAATGGCTCAGGAAATGTTTTTGAAGTTCACGTCTTAAGAAAATGCATTTCGACACTTGGATCGACATAAAAGGACTGGGACACCTTGCTGCACTCAGTAGAAAAATAGGAGGCAAAAGAGCAATAGGTAGACCAAAATTAAATATTCTTACAGAACTTGAACTGTTGGTTGACAAGGAAAGACCAGGAAGAATGATTTCAACAGATTTTGTATGCCCAAGTAATGTTTAGATTATTCGCACAGTCCTGCCTTTAGGTTGTCGGTTTATAAGTCTGAAGTGTGGTTTGTTTTCCCTCTTCAGTTCTCCCCCTGGACGCTTACTCTTTCCTTCAGTTTCCTTTGAGTGTGTATTTGCATTTCTCTCTCACTTCAATGTTGGACAAGTCATTTTGTTGGTCTCGCATCCCTTCTTAGAGCACCTTAATAATTACTTGATTTGTTTCAAATTATGGTAAACAGGCTAAACACAGCGTTTGGGGACCGAAGAAAATCAGGAAAATTTCATAATTTCCATTATATTGGTCACAGAAAGATAACTTTGGTATCAATATAAACAGGAAATAAAACTGTAGTTGACCATGTTAAGGAAGCGACTTTCTGTTCAAGTAAACATTACACAATTGTATTTACTACATCAACTGAAAATATTGCTGGTATTTTTATTTTATAGGTTTGGCAGGGTCAAAACAGTCCACTTTCTAAATGATTTTAATTGTTTTGATGGGGGGTTAAAACACTATCCTTTATTCAATGCTTTTTAACTTTTATTGTTTTGATTTCATTTCTTTATAACTTTGCTCCTGATGAGAAAGACGAAGATTGAAAAGAAGAGTTGTGACCACACTGAATGGTCATAGAGATAGCTTGTGCTAAAATTTTCATTAGAAATAGCTGTTTATTTTCTACTGAATACTCATCCTTTTTAATTCCCGGAATTATGGATGGTTAGAGAACGCTGCTTGTGATTCCTTTTTCTTTACTTCCTGTCTGTTGTTTCTGTCTAGATCCATCTTGTCTTTTCCTTACACTAAATGAACCATATGGTCTCAATGTCGTTTTTTTTTTTTAACTCAAAAACTAAAACGGCATGTGTGTTCGGTTGTACCAGAATTCCGAACTGTCAATGTTCATGACCTGTTGGTGGGTGGTTTGGGTGCTCTAGTGTGGTTTGCTTCTTCTTTCCTTTCAAACATCTATCGTCATTATCTCCCCTCCTTCTTTTTTGTGTTTGTTACTCTCTCGTAACACCTCTAATATTCGGCACTTGTATGACTTTATTGTGTTGCAAGTGCCGTAAAACACTTACTAAAACAGAAAAACATGACCTGTAGGGATGAACCCCGCAGTTTTTTTCTAAGGATGATTTTCATTCTTAATTTAGAACTTTCATCTCACTTGGAGGTGCTGCAGCAAAATGACAGGCTGGTGGAGGGAGCCAGGAGTTTTCTACTCCTCGAGTATTTGGTTTTGGGTTTGATTGAACTCACCATGTTGGTGTTGGCTTAATATGTGTGTCTGCCTAGAGAAAGGTAGGCCTACCAAAAGTCGGATTTTGACCATTTTGAGTTAAGGGTTGTACCTTATAGGATATTTAATGCTGATTACAAGGGTCTTTGAATTTTTTAGATATCTCAAGTAGTTTTGAGATATTGCACATTTTGCGAGGTAGGGTATAAAGATAGAATTTTGAGAAAATGAGTTTTTAAGTTTAACAAACGTGAGAACACATACAAACTTTTTAAAAACGATTTTTGAAATGTATTTATTCATGGAAAATTCATGTCCAGTTTGGCGTTCAGTTGATATCAATATCATGAATGGAATTCAAGGGTAAAACATGGCAGGGAAGAGAAAACGTGCTTCAAGAATAGATTTTAACACCTTTTGAAAGCAGTTTCCATTGTTTGTTCTTTTTATGACCTACCCTCAAAATAATTCAAAGTAAAATATTCAGAAGTAAAATCTATGAAAGCCCTTTGAACACATTGTAGAAAAATGGTGGATCTATCATTTTTTAAATGGAAACATATTATGATCAAAAAAGAGATTTTTGTCATTATCAGCCTGTAGCTCGAAACTGTCTTTTGGTACCTTTCTCTAGGCACACACTCATATCTTTGATTTTTGTCAGGTTAGGAAAAAATCTGGTCAAGCTTGAGGTGAGAGGGGAAAATTTTTGATTGGGTGTCTCGGTCTTCCTGCTGGAGTGTTGTATCCCTCTCAGCCCAGGTTGGCCCTGACAGGTAGAGTCATAAGCTCGCCTCTTAAATGGTCTAAATTGTTTCGATGGGGGGCATTAAACAAAAAAAGAAAAGAAAAAGAACACTTAAAGTGCTATCTCTTACTATCTTAGACCTTGGTTAGGTCAGACAAAAACTGTACAAGCTGGATGATGTTTATGTCAATTTGTCTCGTCTTTCCATGCTTTAAACAACTTTGATTGTGTCTATGTACTCTTTACTCGTGACTCATACGAAAGCCACAAACCGTTAATTTCTTCACAAAATTCACAAACATTCAATTTTCCCCCCGTCTGCTGCGTTCCCCAGGTGGGAGAGAAACTTGGCAAGATGGAGGTGGAGAAAAGGCAGGCGGTGGAGAACGAGGACTACGACAAGGCCAAGCTGAAGAAAGTGCAGATGGACGAGTACAGGCTGCAGGTCTATAAGGATCTCAACCTCAACGACCTGTTGGAGCTCACCGGGGTAGGTCAAAGGTTGAAGGCCGGTGGGGGCAGGTTGTAAGTCATAGGCCAGTCACTGTGGTAAGTCAAAGGTTTTAGGTCAACGTGGTAGGTTCAAGGTCACCGGGGAAAGTCAACAGGGCAGGTTGTAGATCATAGGTGACTGGTAGGTCAAAGGTTTTTGGTCACTGGGGGCAGATTATAGGTTGGAGGTCACCGGAGTAGGTTGAAAGTCATGGGTCACTGGGGTGAAGTCGTAATTTCAGGGGTAGTTCATAGATCTCAAGTCACATGGGTAGGTCATAGGTCATTGGGTTGTGTCTTTGGTCGTAGGTCACTGGGTAGGTCATAGGTAACTGGTGTAGGTTGTTGGTCACAGATCACTAGAGCAGGTCATAGTTCACTACGGTAGGTTGTAGATTGTAGGGGACTCGGGTGGATGGGCCAGTACTGTCTTCAGGTCTATAACCATCTGTTGGAACTCACTGGAGAAGGTCATAAGTCATAGGTCACCAGAGTAGGTCGTAGGGCGATAGTCACTTGAGAAAGTGATAAACCGTAGGTGACTGGAATAGGTTATAGGCTCCTGGGGTAGACTTGATACACTTCTCTTTACCTAAACTAAATGATGGATGGTTGGTGGGTGCGCTTGTGTGGTTTGCTCCTTCTTTCCTATCAAACATCTATCGTCCTGATCTCTCCTACTTCGTTTCTGTGTTTGTTACACTCTTGTAACGCCTCTAATCTTCAGCATTTATATGACCTTATTGTGTTGCAAGTGCCGTAAAACTCTTGCTATAAAAAAATTTATTAAAAAACACTCAACTAAATGACTGTTGTTCTGTTGATTGTGCTTTGTTTTGCTCGTTGAAAAATAACTAAATGACAGTTATTGCATCAGTGTGGTTCTCTTCATTCATAAATTCCACTTCTCCATCTCGTTTCACAGAGTCGTCACCCCCAACACATCGACCTTGAACCAATCCGCCTGCCGACGCCCCCGCGACTAGAGCGGCTGGAGGAGGCCCCCCCACCCACCCTCTCCCTGTTTCCCCCGAGAACTCCCCCTCGCTACGACGAGAGACCACTGCCACGGAGGTAGGTCCCCGCTTTCCTTTCCACTGAGCCAACTGCTTTTTTTTTCTTCCTCCCCTTTTTAATATCATATGTTACCCTGTAGGCTTTTTATACCATGTATGCTTACTCCGCTTGTGGGGTCCATGAGATGAGGTTTGTGAGATGGAGTCTTAAAGATAAGGTTTGGGAAATATAATGAGGTCTGTAAGATTGGGTGGTGGGCGATGTGTTCTTAAGATGTGGTCTGGGAAGTGGGGTCTGGGAAGTGGGGTCTAGGAGGTGGGGTCTGGGAGGTGGGGTCTGGGAGATGGGGTCATAGAGATTGGGTGATGGGAGACAGGATCTGTGAGATGAAAAAATAAAGCGTAGCATATGACTTGACCTGGAAAATGACTGAACATTTGTTCTTTGGGCTGATTGACTCTTATTGTGGCAAACTAGCAGCAACTTAGGGGACATCTGACTTGTTTATTCGCCACTGTCCGACTGACCACACAGAGCTGGATAAGTGTAAAAAAGCTGTTTTACTATTGCCCCATGCCCACCCCACCCTGCCTCTCACCCTTCCCTGACGCTCCCACCTTTCCCCCCCACCCCCCTCCCTCCCATCCCCAGGCCATGCATGTTACAGCTTTTACCTTCTTCAAAGCAGCACTAACTGTACTCTCATTCAAATAATTCCCTGTAAACTTTGCTTAGTCAAAGCTTTAACCAGTAGTGTTAGAAATTTTTTTTGAAGAAGCAATTACATGTAGTTTGTTGTTACTTTCATTTCTTTTGGTTAAGTTTTGTAATGACCCGAGCAGGCAGAGGGTTAAAATTAGCCAGCTCCCTATGAATGGTTCGATACTTCCAGTGTGGCTTAGAGTGGCGTCTTTCCTTCCTGTCCACTATATATTATGTTCTCTTCAGGTCTTCTTGTGGATGGTTGGAGGTGGGACTGTTTGGTATTTCTTTTGTGCTTTTTAAAAATTGTTTCTGTCTATCTGTCTCACTCTTTCCTTGCACCCAATGACCATTATTATGGTTGTACTTCTCTTTGCTGTAAACAAATTGAACAAATGAGGTTTTGATTTTGCTATAAATAGACACCCGATGAAATGCTTCTGCCCTCCAAACAAAGGTTTTGTCTCTTGTGAGGGAGAGGGGACTAAACTCTGTGTTTCTAATACAGAATTTTTGTTAAGGTGATCATACTCCTTTAATTTCTCTCTTTTGTTTCTGTCTTAGTCTTTACTTCCTTTACTTAGTCTTTTTCCTGTGCTAAATGATCGTTTTTGTGCCATGTACTCCTCTAAAGAAAACAAATTTTAAAAAACCCAATCCTTAAGTAATGCAGAATCTGTATAGATGTAAATGGCGGGCAGATGACTTGCAGTACTTTATATTTTTAGGAAAAGGAAAAAGGAGACTTAAAGTGCCCTGATTAGCCAGGCTTAAAATTTATGATGAAGTATATCTGGAAGCAAAAGGTCGGATATAAGGCGCTGTAATTGTAATTGACAAACAAAAATTGTAAAACTAAAACATACTGCGTGTGTAATGACACTGCATAGATATAACATGTTATTTAAATTCCCTTGGAAATTAGGAATTGTTAACTTAACAGGTTAACTGGGAGAACAGCCCAACCAATTTGCATTTCAAGAACTTATGCCGACTCCTCTGAGTACTCGGACTAATGTTGAGCATTTCTACTGTGGGACGTGATGTAACGTAAAAAATTTATTTCATTCCAAGGTCATTCACATCAGGTTATGATACGTCAAGCACTGGGTATGCCTGTCCTTTTGATGAAATGCCCTTACCAAATTTGAGAAGGTAGCAGATGGTGTAAATGATTTGTTGGAGTTTGAGACACATTTGTCTTGGAAAGATTTTGAAAATTGTTTGTAAAAAAAATAATTGAATTCTGTTGAATGTATTTGTTCTCATTATGTTTGTTGTGTTAAGATTCCAAATGCTAAACACATTGCCTTGACTTATTTAGGCATTTTTGAACTTTTGAGCTCAATTCAAGTTTCTTTGATACAGGTTAGATATGTGAAGCACTGTACAACTTATTGGGGTGAATGTTGTGAGACACAGCCTTTTGTCTGCCTAGCCATGGTTTGATTTTGGAGAATTGTGTGTCTCCTTGTGTGTCATCAGTTGATAGACATGGGAAGTATCCCTCTATGGTGATTGAATTTACTATATCTTTGAAATGTCGTTTTTTTATTTTTTTAAATGTTACGACAATAATGAATCTGCTCATGTCACAAAACTTAAAAGTGTTTTTCAGCAAATCAAAATTTACAACAGGGTCAAAGTCTTCTTGATTAAAGTCACTAGTGATGAAAGTAAAAAATTCCCTTGTAGTGAGAAAAACCCATAGAACTGATTCATGATACACTGCAGTAGTGGGAAGCCCCGGACCCTTCTGTATTTTGTTGTTGTTTTTGTGTTTTTGCTTTTGTTTGTTTTTAAGCTTCGAAAAATTGTTTCTCTGTTCTTTTGGGCAGCTAAATTGTCTTTTTTATATGTTCAGAGTTCAGATTTTGTGTTAGAAGTTTGTGGATTAGGTGGGTGGGGGGGGGGGGGGGGGGGAAAAGATTGGGTGGCTGTCTTGAATGGGTGGTAGAGTTGATGTTGCTCCCCAATTTTTCTTTTTTATTTCTCTCCGCATGCCCTAAGCCTGCTTTCTTAGAACCTTTGACATTTTTTATATTTGCTCAGGTCTTTATTATTTCTTTTTTTTCCTTTGCAATCAGTATCAGTATTTTAATCTTGCTTCAAACTCACTACATTTTCTTGTTCCTTTTTTGCTTATTATAGAAGAGCAGAAACTGCTGAATTAAACAACTTTTTTAAAAGCTATGTAGCCGTTTCCTCTTGTCATAGTAATGTATTTCTCCTGGGCAATGTATTACCTCCCGCTGCAACCTGGCACTGGCTTATGTAGCAAAGCTGTAGCAGAGGCGTTAGACGTCCCCCCTGAGGACTCTCCTCCCCCACCCGTTACCGCCAGGGACAAGGCAGACAACTCCCCGCGCACGCCCTACGACGACCGGCGACTGCCGGCTCTCAAGACCAAGTGAGTCCTGGTGACATGTAGTGTGTGTGTGTGTGTTTATGCACGTGCATGTGTGTGTGTGTGTGTGTGTGTATGTGTGTGTGTATGTTTTGTGTGGTTAGTTGTGCTGTGATATTGTTGTTGAATTTTTGCTGTGTTTTTTTTCCCCCAACTATGATGTACTCAGCACGGCAAGACACAATGCTTATGACTAGAATCTAGTGGGGCAAATGTTTTATTGATCACAATCTGTTCCTCCTCACTAGAGGTTTGTTTTGAGTTGACACAAGTACAGCTGAACCGGCTTTTATGACCACCTGTCCAAGACTATCACCTGTACGAACAACCACTTTCCATTAACCCCCCTCCCTTTTGTCTTTTTTTGGTTCTATATCAAAATGCTGTAGTCCAAAATGACTATCTGAGATGACCACTCTGGTTGTCTTGGACAGGTTGGATTATAATTTAATTTTTTAAGTAGTTTCTTCTAACAATTTCAGTAGACTTTTGTTCTGTTTTTTTGTTAGTCAGTTGTAGAATTTTTTTCTCAAATTTTATGTTTAAAAAAAATTCTCACTTGTTGTTTACGTGTCTGGTCATTTAATTTATCATGCACTCTTAACGACTAAGATCTGTCATGAAAAGGTTTGTATTACTCCTGCGTCATGCTCAGTTGGCGGGCGTGTAGATGGAAGGCACCACTAGTAGCTCCTGTTTTTTTCTTTCCCTGTGTTGTTTTTGTTTGTTTGTCCCACTTTTTTCGTGCTCTAAACAGCTGTTGTTGTGTAAATGTGAGCTTCTTTACTCCAACAAACAAACAAACAAATGCACAATTCACAGCTGTTTTTGCAGTCCTTCCATCTGATCTCCACTTTTTTACCTGTTCTGTCGAAGAGTTCAATGACAAGTTTTTATTTCTTAAGAAACTGTGTATTGATGGGAAATATTCTCTACTGCCTTCTTCTTTATGTCAAAACACTTTTATATATGCATTTTAAGACAAAATCTCAGTCTTGTTGGAGATGGACGTTGATGTGAAGGAGTCAGCTCTTGAATAGCCTGACTGTGGTGTCAAAAGTATGTGTCTCGTATTTTGCAAATTCAGCTTTTTATCATTGCACTTTCCATATATCCTGAGCTTTCCCCTAGAATATTATTCTTTCAAACCTCACTCCGCAATGGCCTATGTAAAAAAATTGTTACGAATTTAAGAGTAAACTTCTTGCACATTTTAAAGGGAGAAAGGGATATAGCCAGAGGACCAGCATCTGTATGTAGCCGGTAAGTGCTTTGCCGCCACATGCAGAAGACTCGAGTTCGATTCCCACGCAGTGAACATAAACTCCCTTACTCTCCTGCCTCTCCACTTTTTGTTTCCTTTTTACCTTTTTGAAATAAAAAATGCTCTTATGGTCACATGTGGTTACTATGTAGTATACTGCAGCGGAAACTACTCGTCAAATATCGCCGATATAGTTTCAATTAAATTATTTGTGTGCTAAAGGAGCTTTCATTTCCCATGCTATTTATTATTTCACAAGTGGTTGAGTTTTTCTTTCAGTTTGGATACGCACAGAATAAACAATTTTATTTGAACAAATTTAATCTTGACAACGCCAAGATACCATTTTGAATATTTTTGGTTTTTTTAATTTACCTTTTTGTTACTTGATTACTTGTGTCTGAAGCAACTGTGGAGTTGTTCAACTTGTGAAGTAACAGCCACTGGCTTGGCCATAGATTAGAATAGTATGTTGTCACCTCTTTGGGGATATTTTTGAGGCTTTTTTTGTTTCCCTTATTAAGACTTGGAAGTTTTGGATAATATGCCGACTGGTGCTTATCATTATTATCATTTCCATTGTTGTTATTATATGATTATTTTGAAGATAATGATGATTTTTATTATTGTTATCAATACCACTATTATCATTACCACCCAACCTTTTTAATGATCCAAATTGTTTAGTAAAAATCTTAGCACAAACACAATTATTACAATTTTATTGATGCTTGTACTATTATAATATATCTAGCTATTATTATGATTGTCATAATGATATTGTTACTATAGTCTTATGATTATTTTTGTCTTCATCATTATTAATATTATTATTATTAGTTTTTATTTTTATTGTTATAATTGTTATTATTATTGTTAGTATTATTATTTAATCATTATCCAATTTCCCCCCCACAGGCCTCTTCCAGTAGAAGAAGAGCCAGAGCTAGAGCCTGATATTTCACAAGGTGAGAAATTCTGTCTCAAAAAGTCTGCCGTCTTTGGTTGAATAGAAATTCTTGATTCTTGATATAGAGATTGCAGTAGCGCTTAATGGCTTATAAATATTAGATTCTGACTGATCTTTGGTGTCTGTTTTAGAGATTGGGATTTATAATGAATTAGGGGTGGGGGTGTTATTTTGAAGAGAAATTATGAAAACTAAAACAAAGGTTTGTGCACATGTAAGACAACTTTGTAACCATTTTTCTGGTAAATAGCTTCAGTTGTCATTTAGATTCTAGTCAGATCCAAACCAAATTTTAGTGTCCTTGGTGAGGAAAAAATAAACCTATTGAAACCTAATACAGACCTAACAGCGCTCATATGACCTTATGCAGTTGCGAGCGCCGTAAAACCCTGTACTAAACTAAAACTAAACAGACTTAACACACTGAGGACAGGAAAGATGTACACATCTACACAATAACAGTCATTTATAGCAGGGAAAGCAGTGAGACAGACAAACAGGAACAATTCAGGGAAGGAAAAATAGCAGGAGCTACAGTGGCGGCTTTAAACTGCCCCCTCCCATCACCCACATTCAAACGCACACACATACGCACACACACACACACACACACACACACACACGCACACACACACACACATGCACGCACACACACACACGGACACTCACACGAACCACCCATCTTTACATGACGACTCACCATCCCTTTCACAGAACCAGAGCCCATGTCTGAAGTGGACCTGAGAGAGGCATCCACAGCTATCGACGTTTTTGGCTTGGCTTTGGTACGTTTTCTGCCATTTTACTTAGGGGTGGGGTGTTTGGGTGTTGTTGTTTTCTCTTTTCTCTCTTTTTCATTTTTACTGTCTTTTTTTGTTGTTGCTGTATTTCCTTTATCTAATTATTTTTTGTCTCAATTTTGGGTGGTCTTTTTTTCTATTTTTTGTTTGTGCATTATTTCTTTGCTTCTGTTTTTTCTTTCTTTTTTTCTTTCTTTCTTTCTTTCTTTCTTTCTTTTTTTCTTTCTTTCTTTCTTTCTTTTACTCTTTTTCTTCCTTTCCTTTAGACATACCATTAGTTAATTTGTCATGATGCTAGACTGTCAAGCTGAATATAGGTTATTGATAAGTAGAGGCTGAGTCATATTGTGGTATGGTGATCTATTTGCAGGGAAGATTTTTAAAAAAAGATCTATGGTTTGTGACTGAAAGAAGATCAGAACTACAGGGTGTTCCTCTCAGAAATAAAATGGCCGAATGTGACAAATGACTCATTTTGTCATTTTGCTTCAGAAATGATTAAATCCTATTAAAATCAGAAATGCTGTCTGCCCAATTTACCCGTGTCCAAAGTTACCTAATGGGTGGTTGGTGGGTGCTCTGGTGTGGTTTGCTCCTTCTTTCTTGTCTAATGTCTATCATACTTATTTCTCCTGTCTGTGTCTTTTCTCTCTTGCTTTCACTCTCTCTTTTCTCTCTCTTACTTTTCTGTCTCACTCTCCCCAAACTGACCCGAACCCTGTGATGTGTGTTAAGGTGTCCAAGCGATATTGTTCTCTCTGTGTGTAATCTCTATCTCTTCTCTCTCTCTCTCTCTCTCTTTCTCTCTCTCTCT